CCCCCTGGCCCCAGCCTGGTGAACATCTCCATCCCAACCCTAGACCCAGCCCAAACATCTCCATCCCAGCCTGGTGAACATCTCCATCTCAGCTCCAGATCCAGCACAGACATCTCCATCTCAGCTCCAGACTCAGCCCAGACATCTCCATCCCAGCCTGGTGAACATCTCCATCACACCTCCAGACCCAGCCCAGACATCTCCATCCCAGCCCCAGACTGGTGAACATCTCCGGACAGGGGGGCATGGAGGGTGACGTCCCCCAGGATGCCATCAAAAAAAGGTTCTCCATCTCCCCACTCCTCCCACCAGGACCTGCTTGCCCAACACAACATCCCACTGCTTTGAAGGTGCTGCACTGGGGCAGGAGTCCTCCAAGGCCCCTCACGATGTCCCCGAGCAGCCGGTACTCACTCGGCGTCCTCCACGGCCACCGGACACTTGTACTGGGCGGTGTTGAAGAGGCAGATGTCGGCGTACTGGCGCACTGGGGCGAGAGGTGGAGAGACGGGGGTCCAGGAGGGTCCCTGCGGGGACGGGGAGGGGACCAAGCCCCACTCCTCACCTGAGATTTTGATCTTCTTCACCGTCTTGTTGGTGTTGTTGGTGACGTGGACGTTGACGCTGATGGGCTCTCCGTGGTAGTAGATCTGCGGGGAGCGAAGGAGGTGGGATGGTGAGGTCCGTGTCCTCCCCGGGGTCGCCCCAACGGTGTCCCCTCCCCAGTCCTCGCCCACCTCCTTGTCCAGGGACGCCTCGAGGTGCAGCGGTTTGTCCGACATGAGGAACTGCCGGGTGGTCTCTGCCATGGGCTGGGGGCCGGGTCGCTCCGGCGCGTACTGGACCTTACGGATCACCAAGCGCACCGAGTTCCTGGGGGGAGACGGCAGGAGAACCCAGGCGTCCAGCTGCCCGCAGGCAGCTCTGCCCACAGGCTGCCCTCTTTCTTGGCCCAGTTTGGGTCCAATCCCTCTTTTCTTCTGGTCTGCTGGGTCAGGAGAAGGATGGCGTGGGAGGTCTCCATCCCCAGCCCTAGATCATCTCTCACCCATCTACGGCTGGAGATGGAAAGCATCTTCACGCCAGCTCCATCCCGGGGAACACCTCTGTCCTGGAGAACATCTCCACCCCAGCCCCAGCCTGGAGAACATCTCCATTCCAGGCCCAGTCTGGAGAACATCTCCATCCCAGGCCCAGCCTGGAGGATATCTGCAACCCAGTCTCAACCCAGAGGACATCTCCACCCCAGCCCCAGCCTGGGGAACATCTCCATCCCAGCCCCAGCCCGGGGAACATCTCCATCCCAGGCCCAGCCTGACAGACATCTCTGTCCCAAGCCCAGCCTGGAGGACATCATCCCAGCTCCAGCCTGGAGAACATCTCTGTCTCAGACCCAGCCTGGAGGACATCTCTGACCCAGCTCCATCCTGGTGAACACCATCATCCCAACTCCAGCCCCAGCCTAGCAAACACCTCTGTCCCAGCCTGGAGCACATCTCCACTCCAGCCTCATCCTGGAGGCCACCTCCATCCCACCCCCATCTCACCACTGCGGGTAGCGACCCGGGGTGCCTCCTTCCCACCGCAGGTCACCCCAAGGCTGCTGCTCCCACCCGGGCTGGACACATCTTCTCACCTCTTGTGGATCTTCTCCTCCAGGTTCTCCGCGCAGAAAGCTTTGACCTCGTAGTCCACGCCGCAGGCCTGGAAACCGGGAGGGGGCAGAGAAGGAGGCAGAGAAACCCCTTCGCACCCCCCCAGGAGGTGACCCCAACCACCGGCCGGTGGCAGAAGGACAGGAGGACCTCACCTTCCCCGTGTCCTCAGGACCTGGCTGCAGCGTGACGGAGCAGGGCAGGTTGGGGGGGATCTGAAGGGGGAAAAGGGGGGGTTAGGAGTGGGGCTGGGACCTCCTGTCTTGGGGACACCGTGGGCAGCGACTCAGCCTCCCCAACCCTGAACCCTGAAGGGTTACGAAAATCCACGGGGTTTGGGTGGGGTCTCCCCACTTTTTGCTCTCAAGGTTGAAGATCCACCAACAAAAGCTGCATCTTCATCATGGGTGGTAGCACCTCCCCACCCCAACCATGACCCTACGGGGCCGGAAGGGACCCAGATGTCCCCGGGAAGGGTCACCAGCAGCAAGGGAAGAGCACCCAGGTGCCACCCTACCTCGAAGGTGAAGGGGTAGGCATGCTCGCCCAGCTTCTTGATGAGCCGCTCCTGCAGCCGCGTCAGGGGCTTCTTCTCCTCGGGGACCGGGGGGAAGGCCTGGGCGTTGGCCACGAAGAGGTCCTTGCGGAAGGTCAGCCCCAGCACGTCCAGGTCCTCGCGGCCGTAGCGGAAGGCGCAGGTCAATGTCACGAAGACTGGGGAGGGTGACAAGGGGTGGTGGTTGGCGGCAGGGTGGCATCGTGGCACGGCGGCGTCATGGCGTGGTGGCATGATGGTGTGGTGGCAATCACAGCATGGCGGTATCGTGGTATGGTGGCATCATGGTGTGGTGGGGGTATGCCATGGTGGCATCATGACATTGTGGCATCATGACAGTGGCTTCATGGTGTGGTGGTATCATGGTGTGGTGGCATCATGGCGTGGTGGCATCTTGGCGTGGTGGCATCACAGCACGGTGATATCATGGTGTGGTAGTATCACGGTGTGGTGGCATCATGCCATGGTGGCATCACAGCATGGTGGTCTCATGGTGTGGTGGCATCATGGCATGGTGGTCTCATGGTGTGATGGCGGTATGCCATGGTGGTATCATGACAGTGGCTTCATGGTGTGGTGGCATCACAGCATGGTGGTACCATGGTGCGGTGGCATCGTGGTGTGGTGGTATCATGGTGCGGTGGCATCATGCCATGGTGGCATGATGACATAGTTGCTTCATGGCATGGTGGTATCATGGTGTGGTGGCATCATGGTGTGGTATTATCACAGCCTGGTGGTATCATGGTGTGATGGTGGCATGCCATGGTGGCATCATGGTGTGGTGGCATCATGACATAGTGGCTTCATGGTGTGGTGGCATCATGGTGTGGTGGCATCATGGTGTGGTGGCATCATGGTGTGGTGGCATCACAGCATGGTACTATCATGGTATGGTGACATTATGGTGTGGTAACATCATGCCATGATGGCATCATGGCATGGTGGCATCATGGTGTGGTGACATCATGCCATGATGGCATCACGGTGTGGTGGCATGATGGTGTGGTGGCATCATGGCTCATCCCAGTCCCACCAGCACCAGCAAGCGGTGGTGGCTCCCAGGAGGTGCCATGGTGGGGCGATGGGGACTCAGCCTGGGGACCACCCTTGGGGCACCCACAGCAGGACCCCCCTCCCCAGAACGTCACCCGAACCCCCAGAGCCACCAACGCCGGGGCAGGACCGCGCCGAGCCGTTACCTTTCCTCTCCTTCAGGTACTCGGGGTCCACCAGCACCACGCCGTCTGCGGGGGGACACGCGGGGTCAGGGGACACGTGGCAGGGACAGGGGACACGTGGTGGGGACGGGCTGCACCCCACAGCCGGGGGGACAGGCAAGGGCACG